CCCACCCATTCAAGGTGTCACCGGGGTCTACAACAGCCAAGTAACAGAGCCTACACACAAAAAGGGCCAAATCCTGAACCCTCCCACCATGCCGGGTTTCCTCTGCTGGGCTGGGACGGGGGAGCAGTCCCACTTGTGAGCTCTGTCTGATGTAGCTGCCTGGAGAACACTTTAAGCCCTGGTTGTTGGACCCATAAGCTCTCCAGCAGCCCCAGGTCAGGGGTACCCACCACTCCTACCACGAGGAGGGTGAGACGAACTGACCACCAGCCTCTGCCAGAACCGCCTTCAGAGGGCGGCCCCACCACCCCAGCTAAGCACCGTCCAGTAGAGGAGCGCTCTGCTCCTCTCCCACTTTGCTTTGACATCTCAATGTCTGTTGTGGTTCGGTTTGGATTGGCCACTGGGCGGAACAACAAAATTGGTCCTGTTTTACCTCAAACCAGGACAACGTCCACGGCAAAGGGCTCCAACGCAGGCTCCCCAACCTCAGAAAAGGGTATGCTCATGCCCTCACTTTGTCTCCAATCTCTTGCCCCCCTAAACCGTGGGGTAAAGCCAGGATGCCACGGCCCTCACTGCTGCAGCCTGGTGAGCTCGGACCTCCTCATCTGCTGCTTTTCTCAGAGCCACCAAGAAGGACAGGGGTGACCACCATCAGAACAGTGTTGGCTTTTGCTGGATCTTGTAAGAAAAGGGAAGTGCCGATTTCACTCCGATCCCTGAACGTAAGGAGCCCTTGCTTTCCTCCCCGCTTCCCCTTCCCCCAGCTTTCCAGTCTGGCTGCCAAACGGAAAAGCACATTATTCACAGTGACCTATTGAACACGCCAAGAAAGATTTCTTTAAGAGATTAGAAAAATAGCAGTTCAATTTTACGTGAAAAGTCACTCTGCTGAGGGGAAGGTGAGGGGAGGGAAATAAAATAATTCTGGTATGGTACTGAAAAATAAAGTAGTGGAGCCCCAATGCCACCTGGCCGTGCCTGGCACCGCAGCGGAACGTACAGCAGGCTGCGGGGGTAGTCCAGCTCTGCATAAGTGCAGGTCAAATATGAATATTTGTATCTACCACTAATACATACATCAGTAAGCCCTGCATAAAATAAAGTCCAAATGCAAACAACTAACAAAGCATGTCATTGTGTCAAACCTCAGAGAATACTGTCTGCTATAGGTTTAAAATCTTACAGTGGAAAGGCACAACAAAATAATTAAAAATTCCTTTTCATAATGAATTCTTAAGATATGCGCAGTGCTCAGAGCCCTTCGCTCTAGCTGACACCAACAAGACTGATGATGCACCACAGGATTTAATAAGTTCATAGTAACATCTGTAAGGAGGTTACTTTATAAGGATTTAGGTTTTGTACACCAGCACACAATTAACTTCAGAGAGAGCGGGTGTCAATCACCAGGCACCCTGGGAGAAGGCCTCATTTAATACACACGATGCCCTGGGCTTACTAACTTTTTAAAGACATTTTTTTGGTTCGTGCCAATCTTAAGCGCTGCCTATAAGGAGGACAAAAATACTAAATTAACCTGCTAGATGACACATAGACAGTAGTGAGACAAAGATCAGGATTACGGTCTTACTTGAAGGC